TATAACAGTAATCCTCTTTTTATTTTCACAGATCCAGATATGCAGAGCAATATAGACAAGACTCTTCATACTGGTCATGCTTCATACAAAGTTTCTCTTGCGGTATAACATTTGCCATTTTATCTCGTATGTTTTGGCTATCTATTCACTGGCTTTTCGTGGATTAATCCTTCACATGCATGAACAGACGGGTTTCCTGGATAAATGGGAAGCAGCTACGTTATCTATTAAGAGAGAAGGTTACAGCATCAAGTGTGATAATGATCTCACAATTGCAGAATATTTCTCAGCTTCTACTGCTGTAAGACTTATGCCTTATTTGTTTCTGTCCTTTTTTGTCATAAAATAAATCGCGCTTGTCTGTGAAAACTCTGGAAGGCAACAAGCTTTGAACTAATGTTTATATCCTTCTTGTGATACCTTTCTAGGTAAAAATTCCGTTTGGGAAACCGGCAGAACTTGTTATCATTGGTTCTGATGGTAGTGAGCATTCCTTACGAGCAGAGAATGGATTGACAGACCTTATCGGGTAAGCCGACTTTAACTTTCTTTCAAAGAGGGAAGTAGACCATCAGAATGCTTCGAGTTTGATGGACCTGACCAAAGTTGATTAGGTTACTTAGTGAGTTCAAAAGCCGATCCGGATTATTCAGCATATGCTTGGTCCTATGAGCATATCAGAGATACCAAATCTATGAATCTCACTATGATTAGACACACAAGTGTAGGGGATATATATCACACTTTTGATTCAATAAATGATAGGGTCTTGTGTGTTCATATTGTTTGTTATATGTCTGTTGAATACACTCCACTGTAAGCATTTATTTAATCTTCTGTTGTTTTTGGCAGCTCAAGAGATGAAATAGTACTCACCCTGAGATTATTTATCAAGACGGTAATGTTCTTCAGAGCATTAAAATTCATTTTATCACTTTCGTTATAATCTCTAGAAGACAAATTTATAGCTGTCATAAAATCAGAGACCAATGTTAAGTAGAGAAGCAATGGCTGATTATTTTGGTTTGCTATTTCGTTGCAGGCTCTGAAGAGAGGAAAAAAGGGTTTTAAGATTGGTGAAGTCTTAAGTATGTGCTGTTAGTTGAGTATGTTGTCGTATTTGGACAACAATGATTAAGGTAATAAGGTTTTTGAGCAGAAGCTCTGAAGCTAATGAGGAAGGAGAAAAAGATAAGGAAGATGAAAGGATATATGAAATATATTGAGTATTGTTCTCTGTGTGACAAGTTAATCATGAGAAACTCAATCTTTGTTTATATAAAAGCCACACTTAAGTTACATTTGATCTCACTACATATACCATTGCTCTGCCACATTACATTCTATTTTGTTGACCTTTTTACACTAAATAATTGGCCAACCTGACTATGTTACAAAGAAGAATGATAAGTCTTAAGGAGATATGATACAACAACAATGAAGTAACACAAAAGTATTTGCTAAGCTTGAGATCAATCAAAGTTTCAGCAGTGTCGGAATTTAGGCCGCACTGTGATAACTCCTGGCCTTGTCTCGTCAAACCTATACCTGCAAAGTGACATCCCATTCCTCAGCTTTTTATTTATAGTAAAGATTAATAAACATATAAAACGGAAGATCATAGAGTTTTCTTCACCTGTTATCTTCAAAGAATGTCTTCACGGCTAGAGGAAGTGAAGCATGTCCGCGACTGTGTTTACCAATACCTACAATATACATAGAACATCGCTGTGTCTACTATTTAGGCAGAATACCATCACCCATTTTTACTAAGAAACTAAAAGGACACATAATTACCTTCTATTGTACTTAAACCAGGGAAACATCAGTGGATGCTTCATAAACAGAAAATCGACATACCTGTTACAACCTGCACTGAGTTTCGTACTTCTCTAGAAGAAGTTCTTTGACAGTGCATGCCTTCCCCATCTAATCTACCAAAAGGCTCTTGTGATGCAGATCGCAGAGCTGCATTCTTCGAACTACCTCTATTTGGTGATACTGAACGGTTCACCGTGAAGTGACCTTCGATCTTTTGCAAACGTTCTTGTAACGCTTGAACAGCTTCTGTTGCATGGAGACCATGCAGGTCCAACTTCCATATGTCATTATCCTTATTTGTTATACCTATGATCTTCTTGGCCGCCTCAGCATTTAGCTTCGCAGCTGTTAACCAGTCCTCTCTTGCTTTCTCTGAATGCTGCTTGGCAGAAGCATGATCATATCTCTGAAAAGCATTTTGGGCAGCTCTTGAATGGTTTGCGGCTGATCTGTTTTTCAAAGACGGAGAATTTCTCATTAGCTGATGATACATATTCATCATCAAAGATAAGCCAGGTTTGAAATGAGAAACTGACTAGACGTAGCTAGAAATTCAAGCATAAAGTTTGAAACTTAAGTTCAACATATGAACGCTGGATTGGGTAGACAAAAACGATCAAGTGATAAATTGACCATGACAACAATTCAGTATAAAAAGGATACACTGCCTTTGTGTACCTCATCATTTTCAGTGCATCCTTTCGATGACTCAAGTACAGATCATCTTCTTCCCATTCAGGTTCTATAGGAATGGACTGAAGCCGCTGAATGATACTATCTAGTTCAGAGATATCATCAGAGAACTTTTCACTGTCAGATGCATTCACCAGAGGCGGACTTCCATCACTCTCTTGCAAATCGTACTTTCCAGCATCCTCACATGTGGACCTTGCAGCCATCTTCACTGAACTTGTAACAGTTTTCCCAAATGTTTTATATTCGGATCTTCTGTTATCGGATGAATAACCCTCAATCTTAGAAGTTGGCTCCTCAGCTTCCTTACTAGAAGAAACCATTCCTTTCAAAAAATCTAACGCCATCTCAAAATTATCTTCAGTGGATAATAATACATCCCTTATCAAGTTATCATCCGCCCAGCTGTTCATTTCCTTCAGCTTCATGAAGGCTGAATCATGACTGTTTACTGGGAGAATCGAAGTGCCCGGTTTTCTCTTACAACCTCCACCTCGTTCTTCGTTTCCGCAATCTTTATTCTCTGTCAATGCGGGAAATCTCGAAGGAGGTAAGAGCACGGACGAAAAAGACTTTTCAGAAGGTTCATGGTCTCTTATCAACTTTCCTCTTACACCTAAGGATGCATTAACACTAGTTGAGACAGGTGGGAATGGATCATCATCTTTGACCTCGCTTTCAAGACCTTGTTTCTGTCTCTGCTTGAGATCAAACGCAGTCCAACCAGATGATTTACCTTTCATCCATGACATCTTTGTATCGAACTAGTGATTATCTCTCATTTCCCATCAAAGTCATACTTCAAAGTTTCAGTCTTTGAGGGGTGACTCAGGAACTTCAAAAAAACATAAAACAAAACACAAAACCATTTCACAATGAACAACAACATTCAACAACCAGTTGTGTTATCTACTACATTCAAATTAAACCTAGACAAGACAAATCCACCCATTTCTACAATTCAACATAAGACAAAAGCACTGTCCGGAGAAAATAAATTCAAATCCTTTAATTTTTGACGGCAAAAAAGGAAGACTTTATAAGATAAAGAGGGTTGACTAACCTAAGGCCAATGATTCGACCAGTCGCGGTTTGAATGTGAACGGAGGGTACAGACGGTCGGTGATACAATTGACGGAGAAGAAGGAAGCAATAGAAATTCGCCGGCGGAGAGAGAGAAAGAGACGCTGCAAATTTGCATTTAATTGCGAAATTGACCTTTGTCCAGATTTTCTTCTTTGTATGACTGGTCAACCATCCATTATTGACTTATTGTCATCAAACTTACTCTTAGTGGGCCTTTATGGCCCATTTAGTGATTTATGTTTCTTTGACTACTTTAACAGAACACATTCGGGAAAAGGGCCTTTAAATAAAGAATATCATATGGTATGGAAATGAATGCATAACCTCATTTCCATACTAGAAGAAAATATACTAGAAGAAGAAAAAACACAAAGGTATACGTAGAAATTTTTTTGAAAAAGAAATCATGAACAAACAAAAACAATTTGGTTAACTTCTAAACGTGAAACATCTAGTAATGATATTAGAAAGAAAAGGAAGCAAAAAAAACATATCTTATAATTTTTATGAGATTTGGACTCGTGACTATAGTTGCATTTCTAAGCATATTTATTCATTCCTACTTTTAAAATTAATTGTCAGCATCTCCAAGAGAAGAACAGTTCACCTAATCAGTAGGTGTACGTATGGCTTAAAAACATAAGTCTTCTCACACCATTAAGACTACACAAAAACACGAATGATGTATTATTGTCGACAAAGACGGACGATCCAATGAGTCACTTAACCATTTCTTGTTACTTTAAGAAATCATTAATTAAATAAACAATTGTTTAAACGTTCTCATATCACGCACTAATTAGTAGTAAACAAATAAGGAGTGAAAACACGAGCTAGGCTTTCAACGTAACGATCAATAATGCTTGGTTATTTTAATCGAATAAAATATGTAATGGTGCATTGTATACTAATCGGAGAAATGGTTTATGTATGTGAAAACGTGCACGTCAATCGCAAAACATAAACTAAAGGTTTTCTTTCTGTTTTGGATTTACATTTACAATTTACAAAGAAATTTTGTTTAAATTCACACTTAACAAATAGGGCAAGTTACTTTTCTTTCGATGTAAATGTAATTTACTCAATATAGATTACAAAACTCAACAAGTGTATTATACATTTCACTTACGTTTTACGTTTAGTCACTTACATTAAACAAGAGCCTTTGGATAGTAGTAATAAATAAGAGTCGTATGGGCATTAAATCTTTTGCTAGTAAATGCATTAACTGTGGCTCACTTTTCACCAAACTAACACAGCAACGTAACTTATCTTTTGAAGGGATGGACTCACTCACTCACCTACCCGCCGGTATTGCTGAATCTCACCGTACAAATAATCAATTCCATTGTTTTGTATTCCACTCGTACCTTTAATAAGTACAACAAACCTGACTATAATGAAACCAACATTTGTATTTTACTACAAGTTCAAAAATCCCACGTCTCAAGCTTTAAAACAAGTTTGAAGAACATAAACACACATTCACTTAAAGTTGAACATTTGATTAATAATGAAAACAGACTAATAATACATCGGCCTAGACGATTTTAATAAGACATAAGCATAGCTTAATACATTATTATTAATTTAATCGAGCTAATTTAACAAATCCATTATTATCGATGGTGATTAAGCGGAGAGTGAAGCCACGCGCTCAGCAACAAAATCCTTAATCCGCATAATTAACTGACCCGACTCCGGTAATTCAGGGAAAATATAAAAAGCATGAAACATGTTTGGATACTCGATTAACGTTGCTCTTTTCCCGGATAACTTTATCCACTCGTAGTAACTTCTTTGCCAATCTTGTAACGGATCAAACCCAGCAACAACCACCATCGTCTCCGGATACTCCAGATCCGATATATCCACCGCGTTTGGTCCGCCAACGTTAACCGCTTCATGATCCCGGTTTAATCCCATCGCTTTCCAGCACCAATCTGTTCGGCCCGGTGAAACCAGAGGAGCTCCGACGAGTCGTTTCTCCGCCTCCGTTCTCTCTTCTCCGCCGAAGAAAGGTTGGATCGAGATGAGTCCGATGAGTTTCACGGCCGTGAAACATCCCCGCGGTTCACGGCAAATTCGAACCGCGACGTTGTGAGCGATGTTTCCACCAGCGCTGTCTCCGGCGAAGAAGCATCTCGACAGATCAGCGTTCGCCGGAAGAACCTTGCCGTGATTCTCCTCGAGGAACTTCAAAGCATCGTATCCGTCGTCGTATTGAGCAGGATAACGATGCTCTGGAGCGAGACGGTAGTTAACGGAGATGACGTAAGCAGGCAATTTCCTAGCGAATCTCCGGCATACATTATCGTAAGGATACGCATTAGGACTGAGGAAAGCGAAACCACCGCCGTGGAAGAAAACAACGACGGGGATTTTATCGCCGGAGACGTGTGGAGTGTACAATCGGAACCAGAGATCACGAGATTGATCCACGACGAAATCGGAGGTGGAGACGGAGTTGACAGGTTTAGGATTGGGAGGAGCACGGAAATCGAAGAGGCGGAGGAAACGGCGGTTGATAGTTCCGTCAGGACGTTGAGCGTTATCGGTCATGGTGGAGATAACGGTGAGAGCGATTCTTGTTTTTAACGGAAGCGTTAGCTTTTGGTTTGGTTGAGAATCTGTCGCCATTTTTTTTTTTCTCCGTGAAGAATGGATTTGGTGGAGAGTGCAGTGAATTTGTAAGCTGGTACTTCATCTATATAAGCTAAAGAATATTTTGCCAGCTGTAATTTTCTATGTTTTTATTGACGTTTATAGTTAGGACAACTATTGAAAATTATCGTGTTTATAAGGAAACACGTAAACGAAAAAAAGAAAAAAATCTCAAATATATTGGAAATGGATTAAGGCTTAATTCACTAGTTTTCTTCTACTACAGTGTTGATGAAGTCATCTCACATGGCCAACGCAATGGAGTCACATAAGAGCAGTAGATACAATCAATGTACATGTTGCAGGAGGCAAACAATTTCTAATGTCAGAAACCTGCATCAACTAAGTTTCAATCTCATTCAATTCTGTATGTTAAATTCGACACTGGTCACGGGCAAATATGTAAAAACAAAGCAAAACAAGAACGAATTTACATCATCATGTTTATATATATATATATATATATATATATATAATCCTATAGTTCCCTTTCTAACCACATAAAACGTGTCTTCTTATTATTGTAAGTGATGAAATTTTGTATTATAAATTTTGCTTTCAGGCTTTCAGCCAAAGCCAAGGCAAGAAAATAAGTATGTTGATCAATACTTTGTATATAGTCAAGAAATTATATGCGTTTATTAATGGGGAATCGGATTTCGTTATTTATTAGAGTCGTCACGAAGTTTATACGGTTCCAAGGATGATCGTTTTCACTAACACATATCACCACTATTCAGGCCCGGCCGGTCCATAAGGCAACTAAAGCATATGCTTTAGGCCACATATCATATAGAAAATAATGAGGCCACATTTTAAAAAGTCTCAACAGTCTAGTGGCTTTTCCTCTGTAGCATTTACTGATTCTCTCCCAGTTTTGAGTCTCCTTGGTTGGTTTTTGTCCTTTTTGTTGTGTTATTAATTTATTTTTTTTTAAAAAAAAAAATTCAAAGCCATATTTTTAAAATTATGCTTTAGGCCACTTAAAATCTAGGACCGGCCCTGCCACTATTGCATCACCATTTAATTAAGGAACCAATGCACCAGAATTACTATATTTCTGAGTTTGCAGATTTACTGAATCTAGCTATGAATTGGAAATCTCCGAAAGTGAATCCGTCCGACACCTTGTTTCAAAAGCTGTTCATAATTGGTAGCACATTTGAGTATTCAAAATGCGGTCTCTAAAGAGAAATTCAAAAAATTTTTTATAAAACTTTGCATGTTATCTATAAATACAAAACACAGAAAAATAGCGTTACCTCAATAAGCGATACGTTTTGTACCTCAACAAAAACTCAATGCCTTTTATCATCTCAACCCGAGTCGGCCAATACATTATTAGGGCCACAACTCACAAGCCCAAAATAAACTTTGAGCCGATTATACTAGTTAGTCAACGGAACAAAATTGAAGGTGAAAAGGATCGTACACTATCAAGAGCACTTTTGAAGTTTCTTACCACTAAACTGAGACTTTCAGTTAACGAGTTTGTGCTTAGGGCCGGCTCTGATCTCAACGTCTAAAAAATTGGGAAACTATCCATGACCATGACTATATAATTTGTGTTAAAACAGAGTTGACCTAAATTACTCAAACACTATCTGTTTTAAAACAAGTATAGTCTCACCCCAAAATCAATTTTTTTTTTTGTTTTTGTCATCTGAAAATTTATTAAGACTTTTGAAAGATACATTTGAGGAATACAAAACCGGGGAAAATGGAGACATCACAAAATACATGTTTTCAATCCAAGGAGAAGGTCTAGGAGGGACTCATCATCCGAGGATGAGGAGGAACGAGTGCGCCATTGCTCCTGAAAGCAAGAGGACCGGCAAAATACCACAATGTAAGACAAGACGCATAACAAACAACCAACCAACCAACGAGAGGAGGAGCAACATCAACCATAACAGATGGTGATCCGATCCCCATTACAAAAATTTAACTAAATAACAAATTCTTTTACCTATTGTATAGTTCGTTTTTACTTTTTAGAGTTTGCATATGACTTATGTGGAGAAATGAATTTAAAAAAATATATATATATATATATATACTCTAAAATGCGCTGTCGTTTCATGTTCCATGACATCAGTGTTTTTCAGGGTTTATCATTTGACACTCGCAATCAAAATACTCCCAACTTCTTCACCACCGTCGTTAAATGCCGCCTGCTCCGTCGGCATAAACCCAAAGCTTCAACGCCGTTGGTTTCTCTTCCTCTCCCTATCGGTTAATTCCTTACAGGCAAGCTTCTTCAATTTTCGCATCGCTCCGGCGATTTCGTTTCTAATCGTCAGTTTTCTCCATTTTCGAAGGTTTATTGTCACTCGCAAAGTAGATCGCAATTGATTATAGAGATTGATAAACGTAATTGCTCTCGTTCTAGTGCAATGCACGGCTAGTAGAAACTCTATGAAGATTAGTCGGATTTCGTTGAAAATATTTTTTGTTGTGTCTCTGTGTTGTGATGTAGAAAACCCTAATTTAAAGGGCTCTGTGTAGTCTCGAAATTGGCCAATTTCTTTGATTTGGGTTCTTCATTTCCATTTCACTCTGATTTTTATAATAAGAATGTGACAGAAAGACTTTTTTTTTTCTTTCTATGTTATGTGTAGGAGCTATGGGTTGGAAAGCTGCTGAGAAACTTATCAGACACTGGAAGATACTTCGAGGGGACAATGTGAGGACACTCTCTTCACCACTCATGTTCTTCTGGTGGTGTTCATTAGTTTGGTTTCATTTTTGATGTGATGTTTCTGGGTTTTTAATTTCTTATGTAGGTGATGATAATTCGTGGGAAAGATAAGGGCGAGACTGGAACCATAAAGCGCGTCATCCGATCCCAAAATCGTGTTATTGTTGAAGGGAAGAATCTGGTGAGATAGTGTCTTGAATCACCTTGTTTTGATATCGTTTTTTCTTGGTTTCATGCATTTGTGTGGACTAGATTTGAATCAGGATCATATTACTAGCTTATTAACACCAATCATGGAGTTAAAATACTTCATTTGATCCTTGTTGTTACATTCAAGCATCAATTTCATTTACAAAACTCATAAATGGTCTCTTGTTTCATGGATACATAATATTTTGAATTGTTCAGCTCTTTTCGTTTTGGATGTTCTAGCTTGCTGCTGGGATAGTCAGTCTTTGGCTACTTGTCGACACCCTATTTTCTACTGCTTGTGTATATTTTTAAAGATGTTTTTTTTTTTAATTTGCAGATCAAGAAGCATATAAAGGGAGGCCCTGATCACGAAGGTGGAATTTTCACGGTAGAGGCTCCTCTTCATGCCTCAAATGTCCAAGTTGTTGATCCAGTCACTGGGTATGATCTCACTCTGCACTACTGTCTCCAATTACTCGTTTGCTCAAGCAATAGATTTCTTATCTGTCTGTTATCTTTTCTACCTCAGGAGGCCTTGTAAGGTTGGTGTAAAGTACCTAGAGGATGGAACAAAAGTAAGAGTAGCCAGAGGCACAGGCACATCTGGTTCCATAATTCCTCGACCAGAGATTCTAAAGATAAGGGCTACTCCAAGACCCACTACTGGTACGTAGAAGCTCAACATCTCTCTAAACATGGGATTCACACATAGAATTTTGGAAATATATTGTGGAAATCTTTTAGTTATTTGAGAACAATTCATAATCATACGATAGAATATCCACATAGTTCTTTTGCTATGCAGTTGAAACAGACTTGATAGTAGTAGCGGTTTTCTTATAGAAGGATTAATACTTTTTTTTTTTGCAGCTGGCCCTAAGGACACACCAATGGAGTTTGTCTGGGAGCAAACATATGATGCTAAAACAGGAAAGGGCATGCCTGATCTTTGAGCAAACCTCTTCACAAGCTCCTAAAAAGGATTCTTCTTTTTGTCCCCTCCATTTTAGTTTGATATGGGTCAAGAGCTGTGAGATAAGGTGTGAGGTTTTGTTGAAGAACCTTTGATCCTGACAGAAACGGAGTCGTTTTCGTTTTTATTTATTTCATTGATCTTGTAAACTTTTCAAGGTGCCAAATAAAAACCATTGGGAGAAAGTTCAATATTGCCTTACATTGACTGACAAAATATACCAATATTTACATGTCTAATTATTGTATTTACATCTACCCAGAAATCTATAATCATGTTCAATTGACTAAAATAAATCTATATTATATCCAACAAAATTAACGCAATAACCTGATGTGCTTTGCAATGAAATTTAAAAATTTTACAAAAGAAAAAAAGGGAATTCAATTTTTTTTGGGGATGATTTGGACTTTAGGTGAATTAGTGGTCTACAAAAAATAATAGGAAATATTGAAGGACTTAAATGTAAACCGTCTTGTCTTGTTAACAAAGAAAACTGCGAAGGTTTTTTAATAAGATCCCATTGTTGTAGCAAACCCAGAAGAAGAAACTCTCGAAGAAGACGACTAATTGATTCATCTGATTATGGAGAGACTACAGCGAATCTTCGGAGCTGGTGGCGGTTTGGGCCACGCATCGCCTGATTCTCCGACTCTCGATACATCGGAGCAGGTCTACATCTCTTCTCTCGCTCTCCTCAAGATGCTCAAGCACGGTAATCATCGAATCCTAAGCTCCAATTTAGTTTCCTCGTGATTAGGGTTTACGATTTGTTTCGTTCTCTGTGATTTTATTCGTCCCCTATGCTCTGGAATTCTAGGGTTTCTAAGATTATTCGATCTGTTTCTAAGATTAAAATTGTGGATTTGAGTAGAGATTTAATGAAAGTTATCGGAAAAATCGCAGGAAGAGCTGGTGTTCCTATGGAAGTCATGGGATTGATGCTTGGAGAGTTCGTGGATGAGTACACTGTTAGAGTTGTGGATGTTTTTGCGATGCCTCAGAGTGGTACTGGTGTTAGTGTTGAAGCTGTTGATCATGTTTTCCAGACTAATATGCTCGACATGCTTAAGCAGACTGGAAGGTTAGTTGATTCTTCTTTACACCCATTTATACTTTGGTGAGTTTTTCTATTCAGAATCTGTTTTTGGATCTGATTCTTCTTGTATCTTATTTCAGACCTGAAATGGTTGTTGGTTGGTATCATTCACATCCTGGATTTGGCTGCTGGCTTTCTGGGGTTGACATTAATACCCAACAGGTAGGTTTTTGTTTTCTCAGTATGCGTACTTATCTATTCATCTCTTTGTGAATGCACTCGAGAATTTGTTGTTTTTTCTGTCGTCCATTCTGTATTAATGGCTCAAACGCTAAATGGAATGTTACCTATACTCTGTTGTGATTCACTTTGCATTGTAGAGTTTGTAATCTATAGTTTGGAACTTTGAATTGGATTTTATGTATGTATGTTCATTGTGAACATCTTTGTGCTTTTGTAGAGTTTTGAAGCTTTGAACCAGCGAGCTGTAGCAGTGGTGGTAGATCCGATTCAGAGTGTGAAGGGAAAGGTGGTGATTGATGCGTTCCGCTCCATTAATCCACAGACCATTATGCTTGGGCAGGAACCCCGTCAAACCACATCGAACCTTGGGCACCTAAACAAACCATCGATCCAGGTGATTATCACTTACTGAATGTCTCCTTTTTTTTAAAGAAAAAGGTTGAAACGAAATCAAAGGATTTCTCTGATACTGACTTCTGGATACTACTATGCAGGCCTTGATTCATGGGTTGAACAGACACTATTACTCAATAGCGATCAACTACAGGAAGAACGAGCTTGAGGAGAAGATGTTACTGAACCTCCACAAGAAGAAATGGACAGATGGTCTGACGCTAAGACCCTTTGACACCCACTCCAAGACAAATGAACAGACGGTCCAGGTAAAGAACACAGGGTTATTGTTTTATCTGTTGAAGCATATTTCACAATCATGTTCATTGACATTGCCTTTATCTGGTGTTTAACAGGAGATGTTGAGCTTGGCTGCTAAATATAACAAGGCGGTTCAAGAGGAGGACGAGTTGTCACCAGAGAAGCTGGCAATTGTGAATGTGGGAAGACAAGACGCAAAGAAGCATCTGGAAGAACATGTTTCCAACCTCATGTCATCCAACATTGTTCAGACACTAGGCACTATGCTCGACACTGTTGTCTTCTAGAGAGCTTACTTCTCCAGCGCTTCAAATCATTGAGCTTTGTTCTTCTGCATCTCCTTGGTTTCTTTCTACTGAATGTTCTCTTTTTATCTCTTATCAACTAGGCATTTTACAAGGTTGTATTGTACTATGTGATTTCGTTCGTTTAAGGCCAGGGATTGATTTATATTTCTTTGCATTATATTTTCCTCCCATTTTTAGATTTTATGCTGCAACTTTCTTCTAGTTAAGTACTTCAACTTCAGGCTAAGAATATGCAGTTTCCGTCCTGGATAGTCTTAGTTAGAATAATGAAATTATATAGTGATGGTGATTGGTAACAACATCTTAATTTTGTAACAAACATGAATCCAAATGTTCAAAAGACCTAGCTGGTTAATATAGTACCTTCTAGAAGGAACTCAAACAAGTAGGTAAAAAAGGAGGAAGCAAGCAACCACTTCCAAATCTATGTTAAGTTTCACAGCAAAATATACAAAAAAACTGTGCTAGGATTTGTAAAGACAGGAACTTGATGTAAAGAGGTAAGTAGAAACCATAACGAGCACCAATTATAAGCCATATAGGGCATGGCACGTTCTTGGTGCATCAAACAAGTCCAGCTTTGAACACATTTGGAGAGAGTTGGACCAATCGTTCAACCAGAGCATCAAGGTTTTGGGACAAGAAATCTTTGACCTGATGTGTATACTGTTGCTTAAAACTCGGTGTCAAAACAAGTCATGAAGATCCTTGAGACCATGGTCCTTGCAAAAGGGATGTAGCTCAAGCTATACCTGCAGTTTTAAACAACACAAGGGATTCATTCTCCAAGATGAATGTTGACAGCTCAGAAACCGTATAAGTAGCATTAGGTTTACCAATTCATTCCTAGTTCGGTCTAATATATTATTCAAAGAGTGAATCATGTAATTGTATTACTGCATGCAGAGACCATGTATAAATACCGAGAAAGTTAGGATAACAGTAGAGCTTGAAAGCAAGTTTTAGCATACCAAATTAGACCAGTGAACTCAAGAATGATAGCCAGCAGTGTCAGAAGCTTGTTACGAACCTGTACAGAAAGATAATGACAGATTTTAATCAGTCCAACAAGGTGTTTCGACTACCAAGGTTTAACCAGATTCTAATATTGTGTAGTAAACTGAAACTGAGAAACCCCGCTTACATAAAGAGCACAAAACAAGGCAATGATAATGCTTGCTAGATACAATGCAGTAGCGTAGATACGAGCCGGGTCAAGCATCATAGTCACCTGCCGCTGTGGGCCTATAAGGAATGCTGTGCTGCCATACAAAAATGAGATGAAACTTACATTCTAGGAGCAGAGAAAAGAAAGTGGAGAAATAGTACACACAGAATTACATAACACAATACAATATTACAAGCTAAACTAAAAAATCGAATACAAACCTCCCAAGTGCCATCAAATTTCCCAGAGTGAATGTGATGCCAAACTTGACTGGATTAAAGAAAACAAGCATCGACTGCATCATCAAACAGGTCAAAGATAAAGAGTTAGATCACCAGTAAAAGAGCTAAGACTACCCAAAGGACAGAAGAAGTATACAACTAAAGCAGTCAAAGGATTCCTTTCAATGAAGAAATCAGGATAGAGCTTTCTAACATTGCTAAGACTTAAAAAGAGTTTTACTTACCAAAAGTGTACAGGTCAAGCCTGCTGACAAGCAAATTGCAAAGCCATAGAATCTCTGTTTTCATGAGGAGAAACAAGAAGATATTAGCCAGAGATAAACCAAATTCAAGATATTAAACAGATTCCTGTAAACGAGACATAATCCCAAGTAGAGTATCCTACACTCTTTGTACTAGCCCTATTAATCAAACTGGTATCATATCACATAGAATTTTATAATCCTTCTGCTAAACACTCTTTGATCTCAAAACTCTTGTATGTTATTGATCACTTCATCTACATTCAGTAGGAACTCATTTACATATCAGTAAGCTTACGAGCCTAGCTTCTCTAATTGGACGAACACATAGTACACATGTGAAATTGTCAAATGCAGAGGACTTGGTGGTTAAGAACCTGTTTGGTGGTTAAAGCGCAATTGCGATTAAGATCTTCCATGAATGAGAGCGAGTTTTCTTCTTCAGCAGCTTGTTGCTCGTCTTCAACCTCCATACCAACCAACATCTTCATCTTCTCAAAAGCCTGATTCATCTTATCCATCTTCTCCGTAAGTCCTTTCCCTCTAGTCCTAAGCTCTTTTTACCTTGTTTTAGAGCACAGATCTCACGCTTCTTCTTCTCAAATTGTGACAGCAGAACTCAAGTATGGTTGGATCTTCTCTGCAAAATTACGCCATGAAAAATGAAAGAGACGCTTTTCTTCGTTCGTTGGAGGAGAAGAAGAAAAGGCTTTAGTTGTTAAGCCTTCTTTCACATCAAAATAAACATAGCCCAACTTTTGGATCCATTAAGGTTACATTTTCTTATTTTATAATTTTTCTTTTTTGTCATAGCAACTTTTGGATCCACCTAGGCCTCGGCGTTTGGGTATTCGGTTCGGTTCCTAGTATTTTGGTTCTGAGATTTAGAGAAGGTGATTCACATCTTGTGCTCTCTTCAGGTTTGCTGCATGGAACGTGTAGCCTTTGAACATGTTGAGGAAAATAGACTCAGTCAACAGGAGCATAGCAAAGAAGAATCTTTCGTCACCTGAATTTCTGTCAGTATTTCTCAATATCTCTAGGAGCTCATCAGATGTGTGTCGATGCTCGGTGTTTTCCCAATCATAGCGATTATGCTCCGCATCTTCATCACCTTCCGATGGAGAACACTTCAATCTTGTAACCATATGAAATTCTGTAATAGAGAATTTCATAGGTTGTCCTCCAAAATGAAACCACAACTCATTTTCCTTCAATATCGTTAAGCTTCTAATCAACAGACTGGTCCTAAAGACGAGTCTTTGATCCTCTGTAGCCTTTAGAACTGGTCCTAAAGACGAGTCTTTGATCCTCTGTAGCTGAGAGAATGCCTTCGACTTCATTGATATACTCGTATCTGGCAAACTGATTTATCCTTATCTCTGATTTTGGCTCATGTCCTATATTGTACAGAAGCTTTGGCAGTCTCACATCAGTTTGAAACGAATCTCCCATTTCATGAGATAAAAATTAAAAGAAATCAATAAAAAGATATGTTCAGGGAAGACCTTCCCGAATCGTGGAGACAAGAAATGATCACAAGATTTCGGCGGAGGCGCTCGAATTTTCCAACGATCATCAGAGGCATTGATAATCGTCGGTCGAAGAAGAAGAATGAGAATTAGGTTTGTCTCGATGTATTTTCTATTTTTCAATTAATTAATTAATGTTTAGTTAAAAACTTTTGGATGCTATTTATGGAATTCTCGAAATATGGGGCTATTTTGGAAATAATTTTTTTTTGAGCTATTTGTGTCAATCTCTCTATAAAATTTTATTCTTTTTTTGTTTTTTTTTTTGTCAACAACTATATTAGATGGGAAAATGGTCATTTAATTCCCCTATTATTTGAAATTGACACTTTTATTCCCGAACTTTGCTGTGAACAAATTAATTCCACAATGTGTAGTTGACTGGACACTTTTGGACAAATAAAAAGTCAACGTTAATTAGTTAACAGTGACGTTAAAAGCTCGATTAAAAACTTCACCTGACCAAAAAATCCCAAATTATTCTTCTTCTTCCACCAAATTGAAACCTAGGGTTCCTAGGCGATTTTTAAAACGACAACCCAGAAATTGAAGTCAATTGAGAGCGATTCCCGACATCACGAAGCTATGAAGAACACAAAGAACAAGAACCTTTGCCCAGAAACTTCAAAACATACATAGAGACGGTAAAATCTTTGTAAGCCACCAGGAATTGGCCCATGAATCGTCTCAATCTCCATCGTTGAACCATCATCGTTGAATCGTCTCTCTCCTCTGTGATTTCGGGTTCGATTTGGGCATCACGTTCGATTCGATTTTGAAGCTTCCTCTTTCTTTTAGTCATGGTAGTAGCTTTGTGTTGTTGGGAATCACTCTTGATTGAACTCAATTTATGGGTTCGTCGTTTTCAAAATCGCTTAAGAACCCTAGGTTTTAATTTGGGGGAAGAAGAAGAATAATTGGGGATTTTTAGGGGTGATGAGATTTTTAATCGAGCTATTAACGTTGCTGTTAACTAATTAACGTTGACTTTTTATTTGTCCAAAAGTACCCAGTCAACTACAGATTGAGGAATTAATTTGTTCACAGCAAAGTTCGGGAATAAAAGTGTCAATTTCAAATAGTAGGGGAATTAAATGACCATTTTCCCTATATTAGATTGACTTAAACAAGCCAATGTTGGGAAAAGTTGTTTACATAAGTGATAAGCTGCGGCTAGGTACGAACAGTTTGAGCCAGATTATCCGCTTTCACATTCGCATTTCGAGAAACTAAAGATAAAGAGAAAGCATAGAACTCTTCCTTGTCCCTCTGAATCGCCTCTAGGTATGTTGCAAACGCTGGCCACTCGTGCGGGGAAGACACCATCTTCACCATGTCGGAGCAGTCTGTCAGGAAAGCTACTTCTCTCTTGTCTTGGCCGATCATACATCTCATCGCCCAAATTAATGCTTCGACCTCTGTGTGTAGTGAGGTTAAGTTTCTTCGAAGATTAGCAGTTCCCATATCTTGTGTTCCATTAGTCGGGCTAGAACAGAACCATCCTAACCTGGAAAATTTATCAGTCTCTTTCCAGGACCCATCTATAAAACATCAAAACACATTCATGAACTGCTCTGGATTGTCAATTCTGGAGTGATAATGGGTATTCCCCACTACCGGGTCTAAAGCATCATCCGGTATTTCCACCTGAGCTGCCAAGATTGCTCTTCATTCTCTGCCAACCGTAAAATCTCAGGTGGACTTTGATCCACATTGTTAAATACTTTATCATGTCTTGCTTTCCATAGATACCAAAGTATCCATGGAAACGTGGCTTTATAAACATCCGATGATATCCTCCAAAATAAATAATCCATGTTTGCATATAGTGAACCTGAAGGAAAAACTTCAGGGGCCGTTGGAATCTGTAATAAAGCTCATGTTTGACGTGTAGGCGGGCATTCAAAAAGGACATGATCAATTGTCTTTTCAGAATCCCCATATCTGTCACAGCCTACATTGTAACTTACCCTGCGTTTTCGAAGGTTTGAAGTAACCGAAACACACCCATTTAATGCCTGCCATATGAAATGCCTCAATTTAGGTGGACACTTAATCTTCCACGCAAACGCTTTTATCGGTTTAATGTATGGTCCGAATCCACCTGTAGGAGAAGCCTTTATACTACCAAGACGGACTGTATGATACCCTGACTTTACCGTATATTTACCAGATTTTATGAAACGTCATCCCATGACAGTTTCCCCAAGGGTATAGCATTAATCAACGGAACATCCTCCGGATCAACAATAGCATTTAAACTATCTATGTTCCAAGAATTTGTTCTAGTATCAATAAGAGTTTTAACTTGCAGTAAAGGTTCTGTGGAAGAACCATTACTTTTTGCTGGTCTCGGGAATTAAGCTGGAATCCATGGGTCCTTCCATACTCAAATGGACTCACCTGAACCAACTCTTTTAATTAGTCCTTTATTAACCAGAGATCGAGCTGAAACAATACTTCTCCGTCCATAGGAGGGAGAGTATGATCGAATTGGATCCATTGGATCTGACTTCCTATAGTACCGTCCTTTAAAGACCTCGCAAAGAGAGAGTTAGGAACAGTAATTAGACGCCATAATTGCTTTGCTAATAAAGCTGTATTATAGTCATCTACATTCAGGAATCCTATCCCACCGTCAGTTTAACTGTAACACATTTTATCCCAAGCAAGCCAATGCATTCCTCATGTTTGACCATTTGTACTCCACCAAAACTTTGCTATTGCACTTGTTAGTTTCGATGTGATTGTTTTAGGTAGTCTAAAACAGGACATGACATAAGTCGATAACGCAGTAGCCACCGATTTAATCATCACCTATTTCCTTCCCTTGGATAAGAACTTTGCCGTCCAGCCATTTATCCTACTCTGTAATCTATCTCTTACAAACGAGAAGATTTTTGTTTTTGAGCCACCCAAACTTTCCGGTAATCCGAGATATGAACACATGCCGCCTAGTTTTGTAATACCTAGAACTGTCTTCACCTCATATTGTACATCATCTCCAATGTTGTGACCAAACTGGAGAGATGATTTATCAAAATTAATTTGTTGACATGACACCGACTCACACTGCTGAAGAATACCTAAAATCACTCTGCATTGTTGGACATTTGCTTTGCAAAAGAACAAACTATCATCTGCAAATAGCAAATGAGAAACCGTCGGGCTCGGAGTTGCCACCTTGATACCAGTTATTGCCTTAGTCTCTTCCGCTTTCCTAATGTTAGCAATCAAAACCTCCGTACAGAGAATGAATAGATATGGGGAAAGTGGATCTCCTTGCCGTAATCCACGTTCAGGTACTATCAGTCCTCTAGGTTGTCTATTAAGTAGAACCTTATATTGGACTGATTTTATACACCACATCATCCATGTAATCCATTTCTCGCAAAAACCCATTTTCCGTAACAAGTTCTCTATAAAATCTCATTCGATCCGATCATAGGCCTTACTCATATCTGTTTTAATTGCCATATAAAATTTTATTCTTATTTTCACTATTCTATAAAATTTGTCAATTACTACTGTATGATTTGTTTGGGATAAACAATCTCGTGAATGTTTAAAAAATATAGTTTAACCATAAATATAAAATATTATAGTTGTTCGGATAAATTATATAGAACATTTTTTTTTTCTATATAAGTTGGTCAATTATTCAGTGATTTTAAGTAAATAACATGGCGATTTTTTTCTTAAATATTTATTAACTGTATATAAATGTAAAACATAATAGTTGTTCACACATATGATATGTAACATATTATTTTTGAATTTTTCTATATAAGTTGGTCAATTTGAATTTTTTAGTAAATAACCTCATGATTTATTTCTAAAATATTTTTGACCATAAATATTAAATATAACAGCTGTTTGTACAAATGATTTGTAACGTATTGTTTTTGTTTTTCTCTCCTATATAAATTGGTCAATTACTTTGCGATATGTTTTTAGTAAATAATCTCGTGATATTTTTGTTTCTAAAATATTTTTAATCCACATATGTAAAACTTAACAGATGTTCACACAAATGATACGTAACGCATTTTGTTTTGTTTTTTGCTATATAAGTTGGTCAATTACTTTGTGATTTGTTTTAGTAGATAATCTCGTGATTCTTTTAAAATAATATTTGAGTCATAAATTTAAAATAAGATATATAACATATTATTTTTGTTATATGCTGATGCATATATATAATACAAGAAAAAGTTTAATTATATTTTCTCTATTATATAATTGTTTTTCAGTTACATACTCTGTAACTATTGTAGTGAATAATATTATGATTAATTTGTAAAATAATTTTATAAATAATATGTAACTTTTTCTTTTTTTTTTAATATAATTTAATAAATTTCTGTATGCTTCATTGTAAACATTTTCATATTATAATTTCTACTTTTCGTGCATTTTAAAAAAAGAAGGTGAAAGCTATATTACATACAAAAATAGCAAGTCATGTTTACGTTGACAAACAAACAAAAATTAAGCAACTCATGTTAGTTCAAAATAAATTAAAAATGGGAAAAATTAAGGGGAAAAATGTCATTAAAATCCCCAACTTATTCAAAATGTTGATTTAAATCCTCAACTCACGACGAAACGAAATAAATATCAAACTTATGTTGACTTTCTAAATAAATATTAAATTTATGTTGACTTTCCAAATAAACACCAAACTTTCATTGACTTGGCCATATTAGACATGACGTTAAGTGAGTTAACAGACAATGTTAACGGGATTAATTTTCTGTTAACAGACCCGCTAATTAAAAATGACAGTATTGTTGAACTATAATCAAATCTCATCTAAGTCATATAACCTAAAGTCGTATTCATATAAGTTAGTTATTTACGTAAGAGTCACGAATGTACGTACGTATAGTTGTGTCCGTTCGTAAAGTTATGTCTTTTCGATTAACACATGTACGTACACGTTGTTTCGTGTTGTATAAGTAGATCGAGTCAAACTCAATAACATTATTGTGTGTAATACATTTTATCTTATCAATAAAGATCAAGTTTCTTCATACTCTATTTTTCATTTTGGTTTTGTTCTTCATACTCTGTTAAAACAGAGTTCGTTTGTTGATCAAAACACTAACAAGTATTCCTTCTAAACATAAAACGACGTTGTTTTGTCGTAACTGTTCAATAAAATCCCGAGTTTCAAATCATACTCTATTTAGGGTTAGGGATTTTGCTCGATTTGGAGATCTAAGATTGACTTAGGGATTTAATTCAATCGTTACGACAAAACGATGTCGTTTTGTTATTATATGAAACAATGTCATTATCAATTAACATATATGTTAACAGAAAATTACCTCCGTTAACGAGATCTATTAACCCACTTAACGTCGTACTTAATATGACCAGGTCAACGGAAGTTTGATATTTATTTGGAAAGTCAACATAAGTTTGATATTTATTTGGAAAGTCAACATAAGTTTGATATTTATTTCGTTTTGTCATGAGTTGAGGATTTATTAACTCACTTAACGTCGTACCTAATATGGTCAGGTCAACGGAAGTTTGCTATTTATTTGGAAAGTCAATGAAAGTTTGGTGTTTATTTGGAAAGTCAACATAAGTTTAATATTTATTTGGAAAGTCAACATAAGTTTGATATTTATTTCGTTTCGTCATGAGTTAAGGATTTAAATCAACGTTTTGAATAAATTGGGGATTTTAACGACATTTTTTCCAAAAATTAAGTCTAGCGAAAAAGGTTAAAAAAAAAGTACGATAATAAAAACAAAATTGAGTTGAATGAAAATTTGGAGTCCGGACTCGGGAAAACGAGGCCGTTTTAGAGCTTATAATTAAGCTTTTCTCATTTGTCTCTTCTTCTTCACTCTCTCCTTCTTTCCCCTGAGTCCCTGACGCAGTACTCTCAGTCTCCGGCGCCTAAATCTTGCGTTCTCCGTCGTTTTTCTCTGTAAGTCCTTCCTTAGAGTCTTCGATCGCCTCACTGCATGCATTCTGTGCTCGATTTTTCTTTTTCTTCGCCGGAAAATTGCCCTAATATTCTCGATTTTGAAGGTTTTTGTGCTATGTGTTACTTTTTCCCTATTTTTCATATTATTTAGGTAACGAGGCCTGCGTCATATTGTTTGTGTTCGTTTTGTTGTGCTTACTCCGTTTAGCCGCTGATCGGAGTCTCTGACTGTGAAAAATCCGTAGTTTTGGTTTTCGTTTCATATAAATCGGATTGATCCACCGTTTTTTGCTTTGATGTTTGTTTGTTGAGCCTATGCGTTGTTGGCTTGTTGTTACATCACGTTCATGTGTGGATTTTGAGATTTTTGGTAGTGACTGTGGGTTTCTTTGATGGCTATAGGTTGAAAATGAGTTCTAGGGCTGGTCCAATGTCTAAGGGAAAGAACGTTTCTCAGGGTGGTTCTAAGCCTGAGGTTGAACAGTTGGTGCAAGGTTTGACAGGGACGAAACTGGCTCCTTCACAAGATGATGGAGGAGAATGGGAGGTCATTTCCAAGAAGAACAAGAACAAACCTGGTAACACTTCTGGAAAAGCTTGGGTTTCTCAGAATTCGAACCCTCCTAGAGCTTGGGGTGGTCAGCAACAAGGGAGAGGTAACAACGTAGCTGGGAGAGGTAATGGCAATGGTCGGGGCACTCAAGCTAACATATCTGGTCGGGGACGAGCGTTGAGCAAAAAGTATGATAACCACTTTGTGGCACCCCCACCTGTAACTCGCCCCCCTTTGGAAGGTGGATGGAATTGGCAGGCAAGAGGAGGTTCTGCTCAGCACACAGTTGTGCAGGAGGTTCCTAACATGGAGGATGATCTGGATAATGCTTCTGAGGAAGAGAATGATTCCAATGCTTTGGATGATTCTGATGACGACCTTGCAAGTGATGATTATGACTCGGATGTGAGTCAACAGAGCCATGGATCACGAAAGCAGAATAAGTGGTTCAAAAAGTTCTTCGACAGCTTGGATAGCTTGTCGATCGAGCAGATAAATGAACCGCAGAGGCAGTGGCATTGTCCAGCTTGTCAGAACGGACCTGGTGCCATCGACTGGTATAACCTGCACCCTCTACTAGCTCATGCGAGGACAAAAGGAGCTAGGCGAGTTAAGCTCCATAGAGAATTGGCTGAAGTTTTAGAAAAGGATCTACAGATGAAAGGCGCATCTGTCATTCCTTGTGGTGAGATTTATGGGCAGTGGAAGGGTTTGGGTGAGGACGAGAAGGATCATGAAATTGTCTGGCCTCCAATGGTCATCATCATGAATACTAGACTGGACAAGGACGATAATGATAAGGTGAAATTCTTCTGTCTTCTACTTCTTTATTTTTTCTCTTGCATTCTACTGATCTTAGAATGTTACATTTAAGTGGCTCGGCATGGGCAACCAAGAGCTGCTGGAATACTTCGACAAGTATGAGGCTCTTAGAGCACGCCATTCCTATGGTCCACAGGGCCATCGTGGGATGAGTGTTCTGATGTTTGAGAGCAGTGCCACTGGGTATTTGGAGGCCGAACGCCTCCACCGGGAGTTAGCTGAGACAGGGTTAGATAGAAACGCCTGGGTTCGTCGGCGTGGTATGTTTTCTGGAGGTGTTCGCCAACTGTATGGCTTCCTTGCAACCAAGCAAGATCTGGACATATTCAATCAACACTCTCAAGGTTCTCTCCCTCTCAGAAACTTGATATATGCTTTTAGTTTTGTCATTGTAATTTAAAGTTTTGTTGGTCCTTGTGAATGCATCTGTTATGTATATATCTATGATTCATTAGGCAAAACAAGGCTGAAATTCGAGATGAAATCTTACCAAGAGATGGTTGTAAAGGAGCTGAGGCAGATCTCTGAGGACAATCAGCAGCTGAACTACTTTAAGAACAAGCTCTCAAAACAGAACAAGCACGCCAAGGTTCTTGAGGAATCTCTGGAAATTATGAGCGAGAAGCTGCGTGAAACTGCAGAGAATTATCGTATAGTGAGACAGAGAACAAAGATGCAGCATGAACAGAACAGAGAAGAGGTATGTTTTTTTCCTCAAAAATCACAAACTTGACATTTTGTCTTACCTACTGATTCACATTTTTGATTATCTTGTCCCAAAAAAAAAACCGTGGTGGTTTGAAGATGGATGCACAAGACAGGTTTTTCAAGGATGAAATCAAACAGATACATAAGAAAAGAGATGCAAAGGAGGAGAATTTCGAGATGTTGCAGCAGCAGGAACGTGCCAAGGTTGTTGACCAGCAGCAGAAGAACACCAATCCCTCTAGCAACGACGATTTCCGAAAAAGGTATACATACTAACAGAATCCCTCTTTCGTTTTTGTTTTTCAAACACGAGTAACTAAATGATTCTGGTCTTGATTCTTCTGCAGAGCTGAGGAAGTGTCAAGCTTCATCGAGTTTCAAGAGAAAGAGATGGAGGAGTTTGTGGAGGAGAGGGAGATGCTGATAAAAGAGCAAGAGAAGAAGATGGCAGACATGAAGACGAGGCACTACGAGGAGATTCTTGATCTGGAGAAAGAGTTTGATGAGGCTTTGGAACAGCTCATGTACAAGCATGGCCTTCACAATGAAGATGATTGAGACAAAGGAGGTCTGGTACACAAGACAAGACTAAGTTTCTTTGTTATGCTTTTACTATGTCGGCAAATAGGAGATCTGAGAGAGACTCCATTTTATTAGGACAAAAATCTAAGGAGATTACAGACTATTATTCTCCAATTCTTAGTAGACGGCTCTAAGGAAGCGTTAAGTTCTTGTGACTAAAACCAAGTTTCCTTAGTATTTTGCTGATATAGGAAAACAGAGAGGACACGTGAAGGTGGATTAATGAAGGAAGATTGTGCAACTTGGGATAGCACGTGGAGGGAGGTGATTGCTAGCACGTGTGAATTTGTTACGCAGGGAATCTTCTTCCTTGTTGCTTTCTCTTTATAACGGGCCTGCGTGCTCATTTGTTTGATTAAGAAATCTCTAGAACTTTCATTTTCTCTAGTTGTAATCGGTGTGATCTTCCTCAGCCGTGTTGAAGTTCCTCGCCGGAGCTTAAACAGATGAGAAGCGGTTCGATGTTTTATGAACATCGTTCCGATTATCAATAAACGTATTTCCTTTGAGTGTTCTCTAAGTTTCCTGTATCAAGTGGTATCAGAGCCACGGTTCCTCGGAATCAATGGCAGAAACTAGATCGATGTTGTTGAATGAAGTAGTAGTGCGCGAGACGGAGGAGGTTTTGGGACGATTGGAGCAAGCGATCGCAGAACAAAATCAAAAGCTCGACGAGAGCTTTGCTAAACTGATTGGCGCAATTCGGCTCATCTCCGATAACGTGAATGATGTATCATCGTGTGGTCATCTACAACAGAAGCGATCATCTCCGGTGGCTTCAATGACTCCAAATCATTATCTGCAACACAAAAACTCAGGATTTAACACATTTAATCCGGAGATCCATTCACGTTCAAAGAAGGAATCGATGTCTGATCATGTCTCTTCTCCGATCGAAGAATTCCAGGTCCCTATTTCTCACTTGGAACCTAGCCTTCCTTTTCGTAGTGCATCGTTGGTTGATACGAGTATGGCTGCGTATGATGAATTACATGTCCAAAATGTGGCTGCGTGTTGTGAGAAGTCCACGGAGGTCTACACCAAAGTTGATGCATACCAAGTGTTCGACAACAAACTTCCTCAAGTGTCAAGATTCCAGCAGATGATGAAGGATGAAAAATTGTCCAAATCATGGCAATTCAAGTTCAAAAACGGGTTAGAGACAAGTGTTTTGATCGAGGAACAATTATCATATAGAGATGCCACAATCAGTCAGGGTGTTACAAGAGACCAGCTCTTAGAAGGAGATATTGCAAAGTTGTGGATATCATCAAATAATGGTAAGTTGCAGCCTCATGACCATTATGTGCTTGATAGAATGTTTCAGAGAAGGAAGAGAGTACAGAAAAAGACGCAGACAACAAGGACTTCTAAAACTTGGATGTTTAAATATAAAAGTAGATCCAGGACAAGAGCTTTGGTACAAGAAAAGCTATGGTTCATGTCCTATGTTACTATGGTGAAATCTGTCTACCACTTGTCTGCTGGTTTGCCTCTGAGAAGAAACCAAATGTTTAAAACCAGAAAGAGGAAGCATATGATGTCTTTCAAAGCTCGAAGGCTCAAATTCAAAGAACAGAGACACCCTAAATTCCTACCACAAACTGCACTGAATTTGACAAACAAGCTGGAGATTATGAAGAACAATCGGGTACATTCACAATCTGGTTTTGAATATGTCAAGAACAAGAATAACAGACACCAAGTGTTTGATGGATTGCTTCTTAGAAAATACAAATCACAACAACGGAGGAAACTGAGTTTGTCTCCTAAGTCCTGGAAGTTTAAGTACAAAGAAGTGAATGTGCTGCGACGTCTACCACAAAATGAACACGACAATCTCAGGGGAGGAATGATCATTAAAAAACTTCATGAGATGAGTAAAGTTGATTCTGGTTTTAATCAAAAGACAAGGATTGAGTTAGAAATGTATGGTTGGAACTATAAGAAGCCAATAAATCCAGATCAAATCCGCTTGAAGAGTATGTGTGAAGTGGCTGAGTTACAAGGAATCGAGTCAAGAGCGTTCAACAAGAGAATTCGTGAGTTGCTATTTGGTTATTATGGTTTCAAAGTGCAATTGTTGCCGGATTTCAAGAAAAGAGGTGTTGTCATTGTGGAAAAAAAGGCTCCTAATGTTGATATCACTGCTACAAACAAGCAACTCGAGTACACAAGAGAAGGGAGATGGGAGAAGGAAGATGAGTTTGAGCATGTTGTGAACCACACTCCATTTTCAGTGGAAAAGTTGGTAAGGCTTAGGGATCGGGATGCAGTACTAATAAAACAGTTTCTGCTTAGTGATGAGAAGTTCCATATAAAGCATAAGTGGAGATCTAAGTTCCTACACTCAATTTCAGAGTTGGTGTTATGCTTCGACAGTGTAGAGCTATCCATTAGTTATGCAAATTCAGGGGATTACTTATTGAAGAGAGGGTCTTCTACAGTGCATTCTGAATATTCTATGTGGAAACAAAATGACCAATGGACGAAGCTCTTCGGCAGCAGGAGACGGGTTATTCACACAGTTGGACGTGAAAAGACTGTTGAAGAGATGTATCAACGTGTGGATCAACTTGTTAATATGAAATTGGCCAACGTAGGAAAAATGCTAGCAGTAACACAGAGCCAAACCTTTGACCCTTTAATCAGACTTGAAGCAAAAGAGACTCTAAGAAGTTATGTTTCAAGCAGAGCTGTTGCAATGGTTTTAATGGTGAGGACTCATGAATCTACGGAGGAAACTACATGGGAGTTCTCTTTGTTTTGCAGTGACAATTCCCAAACATTGAACCATGTGGTCAAGGTTCTTCAAACAGGGGAGATTTGATATAGGAAAACAGAGAGGACACGTGAAGGTGGATTAATGAAGGAAGATTGTGCAACTTGGGATAGCACGTGGAGGGAGGTGATTGCTAGCACGTGTGAATTTGTTACGCAGGGAATCTTCTTCCTTGTTGCTTTCTCTTTATAACGGGCCTGCGTGCTCATTTGTTTGATTAAGAAATCTCTAGAACTTTCATTTTCTCTAGTTGTAATCGGTGTGATCTTCCTCAGCCGTGTTGAAGTTCCTCGCCGGAGCTTAAACAGATGAGAAGCGGTTCGATGTTTTATGAACATCGTTCCGATTATCAATAAACGTATTTCCTTTGAGTGTTCTCTAAGTTTCCTGTATCATTTGCTTTTTTTGTTACTTCTTCTTATGAACACATTACTAAAATCAGTCAAACCAAACCACAAACTCGCAAAGTGGCAACAGCGAGGCAGCGACTATGTCTACTTTGGGTCAAAATTTAATTTCTAAAGGTTTGGGCAGTAATAGTAAATATCTAAACTATAGAGGTCTTTACATGAAAATTATCCTTTAGTCTAAAGAGACGTGGTGGTGTCATAAAACACTTCTACTTGAATTGCATTGGAAGAGCATCGTCATCAATCTTTTGTTTATTCAAATCTTCTTTCAGATTTTTTATATACAAAAAAATAAAATAAAATAAATAAGGAATCCCATAAATATCTCTCTATAGAACTCTGCTTTTTTACAAATCTCAATCTCCTTGAGCGAACTCAATCACATCTCAGCTGCTTTTGAATCCGCCGTATCGAAAACCAATCCTCCTTCTCGATTCGTGAACTATGGCCCCGCCGGCAGGACAAACGGCGGCGGTGGCTGAAGCGGCTGGCGCCGATGGTGCTCAACCGCAGCAGCAGCGTGGATTTGGTTCCACGATTTCCGGAATCGTTAGAATCGCCGTCTTTTGGTATTTTGCTTCCAAGTTCTTTTCACCTAAACAGAAACCTATGGATCCTTCTGCTCCGTCTCAGCTCATGACCAATCTCTTCCACAAGGGCGAATCATTGGTAAAACTTTTTGTGTAGATGATGAATGAACTTCGATTCATATTCATACTTCTTCTACAATTGGATTAAATCGTGTATAATTCTGTAAACATGTTTTTCCTGGCTGCTTTAGAGTTGTGTATGACTAGTGTTGGGTTACTGTTTGATTAGAGGATTAGGGTTTCAAGATTTGTTTTTGTTCATGAATCTAAATTCAACCCAATGGTTTTTTTTCTGCAGGATATGTGGTTTTATCTCTCAGAGCATGACAAGTTCAATGACTTTGGCAATGATCGTGCGCTTTATTGGCATGAGACCAATATACCTTATGCTGTATGGACACCAGAGAGTATTAGGACCAAGTCACTGACGTATTATCCATCTGAGGTATAAAACCACTTGCTTAACTGTTTGATATATTTTCGTTTCTTTCATATTTCTTCCTCCGATTTTACCTTAGTATAAGCAGCATCATTGAGTTACAATGTTGTTTTTGTTTGCAGACACTACAGAATAATGGAAGTCTGTACGCGCATGTCTTTTTTGCTCGGTCTGGATTTCCCATAGACCCTAATGATCCTGAATATCAACCTCTTAATAGTTTTAGCCGGACACATGGTAAGACTTTTGTTTCAGACAAAAGAAACTCTTTTTTGGACAACAATTGATCATTAGGTTTCTGTAATAGCTGATTTGGACTGGTTTTTTCTCTATTTCAGCTGTGGCGACTTACTTTCCAAAGCAAAAGAAAAATAAGAAGAAGAGTCTCTTGGGAAGTCCCAAAGACTCTGATGAATCCGAACCTGAAGTTGAGGTATGGCTGTAGGAAACTTTGCATATAGTTATGTTATTGTCTCTGAACTCTAATCAGTTCAATAGATGTGTAATGAGCTAACGCCAACCGCACTTCGCAGAAAGTTGGAGATAAGAAATCCGATCCCAAGGAAGAGGTCCCTGTGGAATGGATATCCCTCTGGAAACCTAATGTCACAATTAACCTGGTTGATGATTTTACTCGGTAAGTTGGTTCTTTTATTTTGTGTAGTATAAAATCACTCAATGAAGACTAAAATAAGAAGAAAGATATAATCATGATGGTTCGAGATTCACTTTCTACGTTGATGTATATATTTCTACTTTTGTTAAAAATATATAGTTGAGTCTTGAAAAGTATAGGCACTTAATCAAACTTAGCAACAATGGGTATAACAATGGGTATAACCTTAAGCAATCGCAAGGGAGGCGCATTGACTTCCTTCATAAAAAATATTATTAATCTAAACAAGTAGTACTTGATGGCATTGCATGCCTGCTTTTCTCTTTGACTGTCTGTCAAT